TCCAACAATTTAAATAATTCCTTACAAATGAATGACTCATTTTCTTCACTTCAGTCAGAAGAAGAATTTGAAATCAGAAATCTTATCCAGTAAATCTGGTTAAATACAGAAACAATGTTCTGTGAATTCATAATCCAAAATGCAACACTCCCTCTTGCCTCGCTACCATTAAGCTCTGACCCACATGGCAGCTTTACATGTGAAAATAATGCATAATGTTAGCATGAAGCTACAGTATACCCTTCATACTCCTGTGTACAATGGGTATGCACAATAATATACAAAATAACCAAAAATAAAATATGTTTTATTTAAAAGCTTTCGGACACAATTTATGTTGGCCAAAAGTTCTGTCAAACATTGGCCTTATTTAGGATGAGGATTTTGAATAAGTAAAATTCCTAAGGCTTTGTAATGTCCATAAAACGATCACAATAAAGCTGTACCATCTCTCTGAGTATTTTACACATACTGTACTTCTAAAATTCATACACATTCGTCAGCATAAAGTGAATTTGGTGTCAGTGTAACCTCTTTTAAAGCCCCATTCCTGGCAAAATTTCACTAAAAAGGAATTTTTTTTAGAAAAAATACATAATGCATTACTCTAATTATTATAAATAATGGAAAAATATTGGCATAAATTTTAGTTTTAAACAAAAGAATAAAAAAATGAGAAATACAGACTATTTCTCATAGGAGATTTTCTCAAAGAAGTCTTCGTTACTAGGCAAATTCAGAGGTTGTACTGTAGAGCGCATCTGCTGGAATTTATCTCGCTTTTATACTTTATACTGTACAGTCAATAAAATATGCCCTCTCTATTGAAATTAGTTTTTGTACTTCGCATATAGCACACTGCGGTTGATCGAGTAGGCCTGAGATATGTTTGTTTAATTGTCGAAATTTCGGTCATAATCACTATTTTAACAGATTTGAAATAATTCCTATGAAATATTATATTTTACAAGTGTCAATATTAGCATTTGGAAAATATCACGTCGGCAGTTTTTACGTGTGATAACAGAACCTAAATCGAGGTAAGGTTAGGCCTAGCCTAGCAGTTTTCTTCTTTGTTTTCTTCGCAGACCTACAGTATCACAAAATCAAACATAAAAAATTCATCTGCATTTATTTTTTGTGTAAAATTTTCAGTCTTATTCTACATTTTTTTCATGTTTAGGAATGTCTAAATTCAGTTAAACTAGTAATTTCATATTATATTTATAAATCTTTATAACATATAAATATCAGATTTTTCTTGACAACTGAAATTTTGCCGGGAATGGGGCTTTTAAGTGGAATAAACAGCCCCATTCTATACTACTTCTCTGCCATAACCACTTTAGTAACACTATAGTACAAGGTAATTGCAGTAATTCTATTAATTTATTTAACTGAACACATGGTCTAGAAATGTTTTGATCAATCGAATATTCTGGGTGCTAGATTTTTAATGTTTTATCATTCAATTTTTTATTATAATTTTATTCATTTTAATATCTACACTTTGGTATTATTCATTCTGGGTTCTGATCCACCTTCTTCATAAACGCAAACAAATCTGCATGTGATGTATGAACTTACTGAAACTTGATGAAAGAAAAAAGGAAATTTAGAATTGAATAGAAGTATCAAAATCATATCAAAATCCATGTATCAACATCTGTCAACATTTTCAAAACAAAACTTAACATGCATCTTTTGATTTGTTTACAGAACTTGTAATTCTAAGCACTTTGAAACTACCTGTAGCTGTCTTTTGGGCTATATATATTTTATTTATTTATTATTATTATTATTATTACTATTATTATTATTATTATCATTAAAACAGTAATAAATATAAACTCATTAACAATTATATCATTATACAGTAATTTTTAATACAGGTTTACTCCCAGTAGATATTGATGTTATAAATTAATTCTATTGATGTATATAAACAATATAAATTACTGGTATGATTTTTTTTTCAAGTGGAAAGTAAGCTCCTTCCATATGTAGGTCATAAGTCATGATGATTCAAAAGTTTCAGCATGATTGCGGTTTAGCCTGTTTAAGATACCTCTTGAAACTATAGTCCCCGCATAAAACTGACATATTATTAGCATTACATGGGATAATCCATTGTTTTTAAAAGGATCAATGAATGTAATTCATGCAAATAATAAGTACCAGTAGGTTACACCAGTGATTCAAAAAACTATAAATAAATAAATAAATAAAATACACACACAAAACAAACCACAATACTGTACATTAATCCATTAAGCCCTTCTTTTGTTAAGAATATACTATAATATATTATTATTATTACAAAATTTAAATTTTAGTATCTACTTTTTTATGGTCAACAAATTAATAATAAACACAGAAAAAATATAATAAAAATATATAAATATGCTATCATACAGTACCATCCGTATCAATAAAATTCTACAATCAATCAATCCTTTTTAATAGCTTTTTGTATGGAACATTAAACACTGGCACAGTAGCATGCAATAATTCTTCCAATAATTCCTGAATAGTGTATGTATACCTACAAGTACTCTAGATTAGTTGTTGCTATGAAGGTAATTTATAGAAAGTAGTATATAGATTACTCATCTATTACTCAGCAGATACAGCACACCAAAGAATGAGTTTTCATAAGCCAAGGTCTTTGGACATTCCCAAATCCCAGTCAACCAGTCTCTGCTAAATATTGCTATCTACTCTACCTCCTATTACAAATATGTATAACTTACTGGTGTACTGTATATTTAAAATCCCACTATACCTGCCTGTGATACAATAATAATAATAATGATGATAATTTTGTCTCATTTATAAATATGGATATTGTCTTTGGAAGAAATGAATTTTATGATGATTATCACTGCCTGTACAGTGCTGTATCTAGTGCAGGTGATGTTGATAATAAATTACAAACCTACTGTACTGTAGTTTTGAATTGGCAACATAACATCAAATCTGAGATATTTGTTAATTAAAAATTAAAATAAAACAAATTCAAATAAATTATTCCTCTTGATACCACCTCTCTGTGTATATTATTTTTGCATTTTACAGTTTAATTTTCAATCATGGGATAAACTTTTTCTTATCTTTTCAGAGAGGGTGCATTGAACAGAAAGCTTGTAATCTGTAAAGTACCTGTACTGTACATATTACAGTATCCATTCAAATTCCAAAACTATGCACACACATTTTATCACAAGTTGTACAGTATTTGTAAATACCAAGAATGTTTCCTTCAAGCTAAGGAATGTAGTCATGAGGCGATACAGATTGAAGAAATAATATTAAGAAGGTAAAGATAGGAAAAAAAAAGTATCAATAATTTATAGACAGTGGCTATTGTTACACAAATCCTACTGTAATCTAATCCATATACAAATCAGAATTAAGGCTTGTGTAACAATAGCCACTGTTTACAGTAATACCCAATTCAGACTAGCCTCGCATTGCTATCGGTTGTAGAAACTGCAACACCCAATCGCAAACACAATCGTGTGTGAAAGCTCACCAATAGTAGTCGATAAGTAATCGATATCCCAATTGTTACCCATTGCAATTGGGTGCTACAATCTTTATTACTCATGATTATCACAAAATTCGATCCCAACGAATAACAACGAATTCCAAAGCCACTGATTGGCTTAGGTCAACATAGGTCTAGCCACTGGAGACCTTCCGTTGAAATATGAAGTTTTTGAGTCTTGCTATATTTGGTGTGAATGCGCTCGTTGATTGCGATCAAAAGTAATCAATTTTAGATTACCACCGATTACTTGCAACTGAGTGTAGTCTGAATAGGGTATAATTGTAAATTACAATCATACTGCGTAATTTCCTACTGTTACAGTAGTGCTGTACAATTTTGGTTTCTAAACAATAAAAAGTTAACAATCATTAATATGGTGATGAATGTACTGCGCACATTGTTTTCACTATGTTTAACAAAGTTACCAAAGTTATATCAAACCAAAAACATTTAAAAATTATGATTAAAAATAATGACCAATCATTAGATAAGTGGATTATACTTTGGTAATTCTTGCTCAATTTTTTGCCAGCATCTTTAATTACATAAGGTTTTACAGTAGCTGAGACATATCCAGTTGACATATATTACCTATCAAATTGAAATAAGTACCATGGCTACTAAACAATGACTACCAGTGAAATACAGTATGTGTAAGAAATAAGTAGCAATAATACAAGAAATTTCATATTTTTTATAATAAAAGAATAATTTTCAAATTAATTTTTATGGTTTCAATTACTATTACAACTATTACACAATGTTTTCTGAATTTCTAGTTTTAACCTGTAATGATACTGTTATGATGTGTACCGTTTTGTCAATTTTTGTATTGGTTTTTTTTTCTTACTCATTGTAAATACAGACATTTCAGCCAATGCTAGCCAAGGAAAGCTGGCGTTGCATGGTGAATTGGATCTCATTTGCGGCTGCAAAATGTTGATGATGATGGAATGATGATGATGAAATCAACGACAAAAAATACTACCACTTTAGCTAGCAGTCTTGAAAATAAGTAGAATTTGATGATTCGCATGGTGATACAATATAATAATGATCTGACCTCTTCCCAGAGACAAATGAAATATATGTAAATACAGTATAATATGAATTTGCGGGAGATGGTTACTGACACTGTAATTTGCGGGAGATTTTTCTTTCTTGTGGGTGTGAGGGAAGCTGTCTCGTTTTCTGGTGGTTGGGACCACTGTCATTTGTTGATACAAATACACTTTGGCCTACACCTCTGCAGTCAAACCCTCTTTTAATAATCAGTCTAGCTAGGATTATATATAAGGACCGGATGAAGGAGCCCTAGCCTATAGGCTACCCTGTGATCATCATTATCAATCATACCATATGATATATTATTAGCATTATTTATTACAGGCAAAATCAAAACAAAACTAAACAATGTATCAACATGACCACATAGACAGTAACTCACCTTACCCGATGATAGAAGAAAGCGTTGTTCCACTCAAGTTTTCTATTACTTTCTTTTAGGGTACCATAAACGTGATTGCCTTTCCCATGTGATGTGTGTGCCCTGCTAGCCTACTCTCTAGGCTCTCCTATCCTTCCTATCCTGGTTCGTTACCTGCTATGTAGTGTAGGCCTAGAAACTTTGGAGAATAAATTCATACACCGTAACGCACTATTTATAAGTGCTTAGTGAAAACGAGCTGGATTGAAGATGATACAAATGTTTTAGGTTTTCTGTTTCGAAAGAAAAGTAAATTTGTAATCAGATTGTCGTATTTGAAGGCGGAAGTGCAGCACAATACTCCTCTCTAATCGCCTTCACACACGGCCTACTCAGCTCCCCTTTTCGCGAAAAAAAAAAACGCGATTCTATCATGTTTTTAATTACGCCCTCTACATGCAATCACTCGAGCTTCCATCCGCTCGAGCTTCCATCGCTCGAACTGGTGCATTCTTTGTGCTCGAGTATCCCCATGATTTTGGGGTCTGGCGTTCATTTAACAAGGCTAGGCTTAGTTCAGTTACCGAGCCTGGTAAGGCTAGATTTGCTGCATATACAGTTGAGGAAACTTGCCGACATGGCTAACTTGCGATTCGATGGACGTGTGGCACTTGTTACAGGGGCTGGCGGAGGTAATCTTTTCCGGTAGGCCCTACGCAGTCCTACTACTGTACTGATACTAGGCCTAATACTACTACTACTCTACTAACTAGGCCCTGGCCTAGGCTAAAGTCTAGGACTCGAGTAGCCTAGGCCTACTAGCCTATACTGTACTGCTACATACAAGAGAGAGTAGGCTTAGCCTAGGTACAGGTAGGGGATTATGGTCGAAGCGGCCGCCAGTCGATAAACAGTAATAATTTCCCATTTGTATGTGGTGGGGCTGACGTGGGTGTGGATTCACCGGGGACTCACGACTGCACATTGCTCCTCCTGCCCTCCTTTCAAAAGGAAATTTTTGCACAATTTAAAAACTTTGCAAGACTCATGCACAGTTTGCAAAGTGTGCAAGGAGGACGTTGCACAGTCATATTAATGCATGGACTTTTATACTATTATAAGCCACAGACTATTCTTTTGCTGTTGATGAGTGGAAGCTAGGCTCTAGGACTCTAGACTGCTACAGTTATAGACATAGGCCTATACATTAGACATAGGCTGATACCAAACCGCCCCTGATTCTACTTGCATCTAATGCCTTATCTCTTTTTGTGTTTAATTTTTGATGGCATGTAAACTTAGATAACACCAGACAATAGAATGGGTGTATCTTAGTTTGAACAACGTGAACATACAGATCTGCATACCAAGCCCTGCATGCAATACATTACACACCAGGCTCTGCACACTGTCCCCCTGCACGCCACATCCTGCCTATCATAAGCAGACTGTGCCCTGCACATCATGCTCAGCTAGCGCACCCTGCTTTTCACACTTGTCCCATGTGACCTCTTAGCTCTCAGGGTCCCAACAAAATAGGTTGCCAATCTCTCAGGACTTTAGTTAGAGAACCTCAAAGAGATTTCATTACTGGCCAATATGAATGACACCAAACACCCTTCCTTTAAATCAGTCAGGTAGAATTAACCCTTTGGGGTGTCATACAAATGCAAACAGACACAGAAATGATTTCATAGTCAATGCAATCTATGAATTTTGTCAGAAATACAGATAAGGTAATTACAGTCTGTATTGTACCTGTTTGTTGGTTTTCGATGTTTTGAAAAGCTTAGTAGGCCTTAATTTATTGTTTCCTTGTCCTTTATATTAATATGTATTTGCAGCAAACAAAAAGGATTTCATGTATCACATGTTTGGTTTATAATGTTGATAATCTATTTTGTATCTTGTAATATATTGTTGTTTCTTGTAACAACATTATGATTTATGATAAAAGTAAACATACAGTATTTGTAAAAAAATAAATAAATAAAGACCTGAACTGAAGCAGTATTTGCATTTACCATATCTCCTTTTACTAATCTAGTTATCAACTTCTTTTCCAGATTTAGTTTAGGAAATTTAACAGCTAATAATATTAGTTCATTCACAAAATTTTAAATTTTGCTACAGTAATTTACAGTAATGTGTTTGTTTTGAAGGACTTGGAAGAGAATATGCGCTTTTATTTGCTGAAAGGGGAGCATCTGTGGTTGGTGAGTATGCAACCAATTAATTACATCAATGTGTATCCACATAGTATAGTAGATAGCAAGTTGATGCATACATGTGTGATAGTTTGTTTATGATCAAGGTCAAAGGAACACTTTCTGTAAGGAAATAAGATTTATGATAGTGTGAAGTTTTAATAGACTGGCGAGAACACTGTTGAGAGGAAAAAAAAAACTTGTTGTCTTTAAGTGGTTCCATCTAGAGAGTAACAGAAAAATGATTGGAATATCTTTGGTTGAAATCCTAATGAGATGAAATGTATCAATCATGATAATTTTTATATATAACCATTCTGTCATAAGTAGTTTTCTGTATCTCTTGTTGTTCTGTGTAGTGAATGATCTTGGAGGGGACATTAAAGGAGCAGGCAAAAGCCAAAGAGCAGCTGATAAGGTTGTAAGTGAGATCCGTGCGAAAGGAGGCAAGGCTGTTCCAAATTATGGTAATTATTAAAATCTCTTTACATTATCAGAAATCTCTCGTTTTACTTTAAGTTAAATTCATTTCAAATCAAATTTTAATTCACACACCATTGTATATTAATACATTATTCGTAAGCTGGGTTTTAGCTAAGACAAAATATTGTCTAAATAAAATAATAAGAGTATGCCTCCTATCGGTGCTAAGCGACAGTCAAAGGGGATACCAAAGTGAGGGAGGTGCCCCCCCCCCTCCTAAGGTGAGAACAAAATAATACTGCACCCTGTATTAAAACCAAGAGATTAGGCCTAAGTCATTCTTATTATCATTCCAATCCCCATTTGGCTTAAAAGTGATAACTTTCTTTTAACAGGAAGAATGAATGCTTATTCTGTCCATAAGAGTAGTAGATTATGGTACAGTGGGAAATACTTCAAGTCAAATGTTGATCTACACACATAGGGTATGATGTAGACTTGTTGAGCATACAATCACAGGGAGCCAGCGGTTACTCCAATAAGTATAAAAACAAAAGCCTAATGATTTTCTGAATATGTTGATTGCATCAGATCCAGATTCTAATATCCCTAGCAGGACAACAGCATGTCTGTCCATCTTGCTGAAACTGGCAGTTATAATCATTGTTGGTCATCCAAATGATGGTTGGATGGCTCAATGACGTCTCTGTTTGTCAGTGTCTTATGTTATTACTTGCCTATATTGTATTAAGGATAAAAAACTATTACAATATTATTTTGATGGCACTTTTTGCATCAGGAGAAATAATACAAAATAATATTTGCCCTACCTGACGTATGGTCTAGTGGTTAAGACACCAGGCTAGTTATTAGGAGGTAGTGGGTCCGATTCCCACTCATTTTTTTCGCAAGCATTTAAGAACTTATTGAACATTCTGTAAATTAGGTAGGGCAAACATTATTTCGTATTACAAAATAATTATTATATACTCAATAGAGCTACTCTTAATAGTTTTAAGAGACACAATCACTTTTAATACTATACATTGGATTTTGTCACATTACACTTACAGATTCTGTTGAAGATGGAGAAAAGTTGGTGAAAACAGCGCTGGATAATTTTGGCAGGATTGGTAAGTGGAAGTTAATAGTCCAGAAATATAATATCATCAATTTCTATTTTGCTGAGAAAATTACATTAGATGAAAAATGAGTTCACATATATTGTAATTAGACATACATTATACTTTCTATTTATACAGTATACTGTATTATTCATGTCAATTTTTCTTATTATTATTTCATTTATTTATTCGACCAACATTTACAATTACAGTGACAATAAAAAACGATATGTGAGAAAAACAAAAATTAGATTACTACCCTGTTCCCACGCCGTTTCAGTCTGGAAAAATCTGTTTACTCAATGAAAACTTTCTGGTTATGTGTGTACTACTGAGTATTATGGCATTTTATTCATTTTTTCGAAAAGGTAGATGATGTGATCCAGATTCCAATGAATTTGAGTAGAGTATAATAACATTATTTCTGTGATATTATATCTCTTTAGATATAGTGATCAACAATGCTGGAATCCTGCGAGATCGCTCATTTGCCAGAACCAGTGACTTGGATTGGGGTAAGTGCATTTTACTGGACAAAGCGTATTGCAGTATGTACTTCGTTCTACAGTGCATTAGTAGTTTTTAAAACTGTTATTGGTGTAGTAAAACTTGTACATAATTATTACACTAGTCATCTGTTTCTTAAGAGGTGCATTCATCTTTTTTACCGTTTTCAGTCAAGTATTTTCCTTTTCAGCATTTGATAGCTGCATCCATTCTTTAGGTTACCAAGAAAAAGACTGCCTTTTTTCTATTGGTGTTTTGCCTGTGTATGTGCCTTTAAATATTGGTGTTAACAGACCATCTTGTATATGTCTGCAATACATGGATACAATAGACATTAAACACAAAACATAAAAAATAATAGTAGACCAAATATAATCTGTACTTTAAAATCCTTAGATTTGTGATTGAAAAAAAATACCTTATGTGTCAGGTTTTTAAAAAATGTTCTAGATCTTGTCCACCGTGTGCATCTACGAGGGGCATTTCAAGTCAGTAGAGCTGCGTGGCCTCACATGAAGAATCAGAAGTATGGCCGAATGATTTTTACAACATCGTCTGCTGGTCTCTACGGTAACTTTGGACAAGCCAACTACAGCGCTGGTAAGTTGAACATACGTAGTTGTATCAGTGTTCTCGCAAAGAGAGTCAAGCCTAAAGAAAGATTAATAGAATAGCCAGCCGTGTGTATCGTTAGTACTCTTGAACTACAGTACTTAATCGTTCTTTAATTCATCATTCTAAGTTGTTTCCTGTAAACTGATTCTGGTTTTTGGTGAAAATGATATTTTACCAAGTTGATCATTATTTGTGTCTATTTTTCTAGCAAAACTCGGTTTAGTCGGTCTTTGCAACACCTTGGCGGTAGAGGGTGCTAAGTATAACATCAACTGCAACTCAATAGCACCATTTGCGGGATCACGTCTTACAGAAACTGTCATGACCTCAGGTAGGATCGTAGGTGGATTTGTGGGAGGTGGGTGCAGGGGTTCTGATAAATATTTAAAATAAAAAGAAATGGAGAAAAAAAGAAAATTGTATTCAAATGTAAGTCTGAAAGTGCCATAGCCAAAAAAGCTCAGACCTCATCCCCAACCATGGTGGGGCTGATGTGGTATAAACCTTCCATTTGTAAAAGCCCCCTGGGCCCCCTCTATTTTGAATTTCTGGATTTGCTACTGACAGCAGAAAATGAGTGACATAAATGACTAGTATCAAAGAGTATAGATTTGCAAGAGGTCTGTTGAGGTTTCCTTGAAATGGAATCCTGTCTCAAAAAGTACAGTACTACCTCAAACTAGAGAGACAAAAGAACATAAAAGGCATTTATCGAATGTGTGCTGTGTCTGTAGAATGCATATTCAAGTTTCAAACTCTATTCAGATTCTAATAGGGCGCCCCCTATTTTGTGGTAGTACTTTGTTTCATTACGTGCATGCAAAGTTAAGAGAGTCGGACCTCTTGCAATCCTATACTCTGGTAGTATTTGTCTACGATCTTAACATCAACATAATGAGGAAATTAACAACATAAGATAGATTATAAGGAAGTAGAAGAGGTTGAGATAAAGCTGCCTCACTTAAATTTAGTTAAATTTATTGTTACAAGTTTAAACTTTGAGCTTTATTCATTCAATTCTCAGATATGGTGGATGCTTTGAAGCCCTTTTACATTGCACCTATTGTTGCATATCTCTGTCACGACACTTGTAATGAAAATGGAGGAATCTTCGAATGTGGTGCAGGCTGGTATGCAAAATGTAAGAACTTCATAGATGAATAAATTATTATTAATATGCCATTCATTAACTGGTTATATTTATTCATTAGTTATAACACTGTTACATCACTCCAATTATTTATAAAATAGATGAACTAGAGAGATGAATAAACATTATTGTTACATCATTCATTAACTGGTTGTATTCATTCATTCCTTAGTTATAACATTATAAAATCACTCCTATTTCTTATTTATATTATACTACTCCAATTATTTTGCTATATTGATGACGTCACACCTAATTTTTATATTTTTATCTTTATATTTTATTAGGTCTTTGCGATTAGTTTCATCAATTTGCCACATCAATTATTATTATGAATTTTATTATGTACTGTAGATTCTTGCACAATCATTCCTTTTTTTTTCTTGCTTGTTAGTGAGATATCAACGAAGTAAAGGTGTTGTCGTCCGTAAAAAAGGTGTCAAGTACACGCCAGAAGAGAGTAAGTATTCTAAATTCACTAGAGAAGTAAGCACAAATACCACATACAGTAGTTATTTTAAGGTCATGTGAAATGAAATTGACCAATGAATGATGAGCATAATTCTCTTTATGTTCATCCTCAATCTGTATTTTGTAATTTGTAGTTTGCCGCACATGGGACGTTGGCACCGACTTTGAAGATCCATCTTACCCTTCCAACATTCAAGGTAACTCTGAAAACCATCGTTTTGTTGGTCTTTAATTATCAATAAAAAAAACTATGTTTTGTAAATACATATTTCGAGAATGGTTGGTATTTATTTGTTAATTTAAATGCTGAATTTGTATATCTTTATTCCACAGAAGCAAATTCTGTAATGGTTGAAGCATTGCATGCATATAACCAATCAGATGAGCCGACCAATGACATCCAGAACAAATCTGGGGGTGGCTTTAACCCAGTATGTACATTATTCAATTTTTTTAAACATTAATTGTACTTTTTTAACCTGATGACAATGAGTGGGGAGGGAGCTAAGTCTTTCCTGACAAAGTTCATTAAAACCCACTGGCTCCAAACCAAGTTTTAGGATATATTTTGTGTGTTGTGAAGGGTCTTCTAGTGGTAGATTCAGAGTTGCATCAAATATCTCCTCAATCTCAATCTTTTATTTCATTTGTACATGATTGTTGTTACTTAATATGGAGTGGCAAGACATGCCTAAATATGGTCATAATGACATCACATCACGACCATATATAGGTACATCATGACTACGTATAGGCATACAAAAGTTTTTGGTCAAATAAAATTTGATATTCTGCACAGGACTTTACAGTTTTTTTGTATTTTATATGTGATACCCACAAAATTAAAAACCTATGACAAGTCCAGGCAAAGTGATGTACAGTACAATGCATTGAGCTTGTTAAAAATGATGAAGTATTTTTATATTGCAGAGTAAAGCAATTGGCTTTCAATTCCCATCATCTACTTTCACATACAGTTCAAAGGATGCTATTTTGTATGCACTTGGAGGTAAGAAAAGGATTTAAATTAACTGACATTTTTAATTATACAATACCAGGTTTCTGTTCTGGAAAAACAGGCTGCTTATTTTTCCTGGGCATGAATTTTTTTTTTACACCATTAATCTGACCATACATAGACAAATTTGAATAGGCCTCTAGTGTCACATAGTTTTTATCTTGAAAGTGCAGTTGCAGATTCAAGGGGCCCCCCCCCCCAAAAAAAAAAAAAAAAAAAAATTTCCCAAAATAAACAAAAATTTAGAAAAAAAGAAAATTCTAGTCAAAGAGTGTCATTTCCGGCCATCTAGAGGTGCCATAATCACAAATTTTATTACCTCATCCCCAAGCATCGTGGGGCTGATGTAGTATACACCCTCCTTCTGTGAAAAGTCTCTTTCTGGGCCCTCTATTTCAAATTCCGGGATCTTCCACAGAAGTGTTGAGTTGTTTGCTGTTGCATGAATATGATATATAATAAATCAAATTTTTTTAATTTCAGTTGGTGTTTCAACTCAACAGGAAGATCACTTAAAATTCCTTTTTGAATTGAATGAGAATTTCTGTGTACTGCCCTCATATGGTGTGATTCCAGCACAAGTTATAATGGATCTCATTGGCTCTTCCATTCCAGGTTTAGAGGATATTGATGTAACAAAGGTAGTCAAAAAATTTGTCAAAATTCTTAATATTCAAGATCTAACATAAGCTATTATCTTATATAAATACAATTCATATTAACTTAGATTACAAGTACAGTGCACTCTCCCAATACCAAAACCCCTCCGGACCGGGTACGATGTTCGGTTTTCCGGAAAGTTCGGTTTGTAGAACATTTCTATTGAACCCTTTCGGAACAAGGCTGTTGTAGGCCAGTTAGGGCCTAGACGCTGAAATAGGTTTAGCAAAGCCCTGTGAGTTTGGTATGACTAACCTATGAAAAGTTAACATATTATTTAACTTATAATACGTACAGAACCTGTTGATTTGCTGTACTGCACAGCCAAATTTAATTACTGTACCAATAAAATGAATGCTTTTATATTGTTCTTACGTGCATTTTCGGTCTGACATTTTTTTTCTAAACACAGCACATCCTTTGTGGTCACAATGCGACTTGCTGGTCAGTTGTTGTAAATATCAGGTCATGCCTCACCTAAACTCTTCCCGGTAATTGGTTAATTTTTTTCGTGAGGTCATGGATGGGCAAACATGTGCTTGCCTGTGATGACGTCAGATTGCCTAAAGTTCCATAGTTGGTGACAGCTTGTTGACTGGGCATTTGGAATTCCGAGATTTCCACTGTATTAAAGTGCAATGCTGAAATGTCCATGCACTGGGTTTACATTTTTTTTTCAGTGGTTAAGTTAAAGATAATGGTGTTCACTTTATTAATTAACAGTACTAGTGTGTAATAAGGATTTGTTATTATGATCTAATTTTTTTGTGAATTAGATTTTACATGGTGAGCAATACCTTGAGTTACACCGCCCTCTGCCATCGTCAGCCACCTTCACCAGTGTCGCTACAGTCATTGACATCCTTGATAAAGGTTCTGGAGCACTGATTGTAATTGGCAGTAAGTTTAGACATATTTTTATACTTATATCAAATGTATGCTCTCTGTCATTTCAATACCAATAATTGTATTTTTGTTTAAATTCAGTTGAAACATTTGATGAGTCTGAGCAGCTTGTAGCCTATAATCAGTTCATATTATTCCTTGTTGGATCTGGCAACTTTGGTGGAAAGAGGAACTCAGATAAAATAAAGGTATTTATTAAATTTTTGATCATCATTAAAAAAACTTTAAACATGGATATTTATTGTTATGCTATTGAACCAAGATGTTGGTACACACAACATAAAAGAAAATTCACTATTGTAATCTTTCTTATCTCTTTTATTATTACTGTATTATCTTTATTGGGCCTTATTACTCATTTTATCATTAGAAATTATCAAGATTTCAAGCCATGTATCAGATAAGTGTCTGACAGGGTGCCCTTCCCCCCCCCCCAATCTCGCCACTGTATTTTAAAATTTCACTACATACCAATGCCATGTATTGAAATTTTAAACAAAATAGAATACAAATACGTATCCCACCCCCGTTTCTAAAAATTCAGGATTTGCCCCATCTGACTGATTATTTTTTTATTACCAGCCATGTTGTAAGACCCCCAGCAGAGCTCCTGATGCTTCAATTAAAGAAGTAACATCCGTTGACCAGGCTGCACTCTATCGGCTGAGTGGGGACCGCAACCCCTTGCACATTGACCCTACATTTGCTGCAATGGGAGGTAAGCCCACACTTTTAATTCCGTTACATGTGACAATTGAATATCATTTTTGCAAGATCCTTGACTTGTATTATGCTGCAATTCCAAATGTACTCCTTAGTGTTGCCAATCAAATGTCTTCCAGAAATATCTGTCGTCTGTCATTCTGAACAAAGTATTAGTGAGTTACCTTGGGACAATTGCTTAATTGTTTAATTGTCCAATTGTCCTTTACAACACATTAATTGTATTGTCATTTGTTTAGGCCTCCCTCAACCCATCCTTCACGGTCTCTGCTCCTTTGGGTATGCCACACGTCATGTTCTAAAGCAATTTGCGGACAATGATGTCTCCAAATTTAAAGCGATCAAGGTAACACGTCAAATTTTACTGATTACTTTTATAATTTTAACCTTTAGAAAACTGGTTATACAGTAAGAGTTTTACCTCAATAACCATATTATTAAATTTTTTGGTGTACCGAAAGTTAAATGATTTTGTTATAATTAGTTTTAACATGAATATTAGCAGCATCGATATTGACACTATAATTGTTTTGGTAACTGTGATTGAATTGTTGCCTATTCCATACATGTATGTTGTAGCAAATTATTCAGATAAATTTATATAAATTTTGTAGAAATACTTTAATCTGGTTTGGCAATTAGATTATTTTTATGTCTGTATAATCTTAATTTCTTTGTGTATACAGGTGCGATTTTCTAAGCCAGTGCTACCTGGCCAAACCATCCAGACAGACATGTGGAAGGAAGGCAATCGTATCCTTATACAGTGCCAGGTAAACATTGTATTTGTCGTTACTTTTTTTTTACAATACCTAATATATATGCCAATTCATTGATTGGCTATTATAAAGTGTAGCTAGAGATGTTGTGCTACCTAGACATGTTAGTTATGTGTACAAACAAATATTATAGTCCACAATAGAGGGATTCGGCGATGGGTGTCACAAGACCTAGTATGGGTGTTGGATTTAAACAATGGACTGGCACAGCGAAGATTGCTATGGTGGCCGTCCCATCTTATTGCTGTAATGATCATCATAATCGCTGTATTTGTTCTTTTGAGCTTAATTTAACTTACTTTAACGCCCGTATTTTTAGTCGAACTTCGAACTAGAACTTCATTTAGTCTTAGTTGCAACTTCCACTTCAATTTGTATTCACAAACAACGTAGTAGAAGTTCTAACTACGACTAAATCAAGTCCTAGTTGTAGTTCAGCTGAAGACGACTGGCAAGCAACAACTATCAAACTAACCAATAAAAAGAGCTAATTTTAATAGCAGACGAAATTTTAGAGATCCGGTAACGCGGAAGAATATTAAACTGCCATCTGTCTTTCAAAAACATATTTCTTCAATATTACATAATTGACCATTATTCGCCTAACTAATATTATATAATAATAACTATATTAGTCGTTAACATCAAACGAAAGAGAATTTGAACTGTCACTAAAAATTTGTTTTCTTTGGAGAACTATCTTAGTTGAGGTCGAGCGAGGGCGGGGCCATCTTTGTTGTTGTCACGGTGAATCTACGTGACTGCAACGCGAGAGGATTTCGTGCAAATCAGGAACTGTTGCATGTGGCTAGTAAAACATGCTAATTTTGCCTTTTGGAAGCTAAACGTAATGTCCCTTTTCTTGAACACAGTGGAGATACATCAGACCTACTTATACAATCGTTTTTATTCATTTCACTTTATCGTAAGTTGCAAAAAGCATGTTTTCATTGGGGTAAATATTTCGATGGTGGTCAAGTCGACGATTTAGCCTGTCCCTAGGCTGACTAAAAAATTCGGCCTGCAGAGGTAAAATTTTAGGCGAAGTTCGCGTCATTTAGTCGTAGTGCTAGTCGAAGTTCGTTTTAAGAATACGAAATGATGTAATTTTTAAGTTTTAGCTCGAACTACGACTAAAGTTTGTTTTAAGAATACCGGGGTAAGTCAATTGTTGATGTCCTGAAATTCACCACACAAACTTTGTGTGACTAGTCATCCATGGGAATTTGAGATTTTTCAACAAATGTTAGGCCTAGCCCCTGCATATCTACGGCCTGTTTAGGTATGCACGAGAGTCTTCGACTTCGCTCTGATCTCTAGGCTGGCTAAGGTTTTCGAAGGATCAATTAAATTTCAAGCATACTATGCAAGGAGAACACTAAATAAAAACTATTTTGAACAATCGTATTGCCTTTCCTTGCCATCTATTTCTAACGTTAACAGTGGGTGGTTGTTTTCAAAACCGTAACATTACCTTTCCTATACTTACACACTGATCGCACTGTAATGTTTTTCATGGTACACCCACTGTAGGTCATGTGACCGGTTGTAAACAAACATCGCTGAATCCCTCTATTGCGTGTGAGGAATGTGGTGGCGCATTGCATCATTAATGCTATTATGATTATGTATATTTATCATTTAAATCCGTAACATTACCTTTCCTATACTTACACACTGATCGCACTGTAATGTTTTTCATGGTACACCCACTGTAGGTCATGTGACCGGTTGTAAACAAACATCGCTGAATCCCTCTATTGCGTGTGAGGAATGTGGTGGCGCATCATTAATGCTATTATGATTATGTATATTTATCATTTAAATCATGGACTGTTTAGGCTGAAGTCGGATCTGTAGTTTGAAAGTATTTTTTTTTTCAAGTTTTGTGATTCTGATCTAGTTTGGAGTGGGTTTGTTTTGGTATTTCTTGTTTTTCTTTAGTGTACAATGGGGTGTATAATTAATGTTCTCTTTCATGTCAAAGGTTGCAGAGACTGGGAGTGTAGTATTGTCAGGTGGTTACATTGAACTCACGGACGTGGCTGGTGGAGCAACTACTGTAGCATCATCAACTGAGGTAACATTCCATAATAAGATATTGTCCTTTGCTAAGTCTGGAGTGTAAGTGGGTGGAATATTTAAGCATTAAAACTTAGGGACCCCTCACGAAGTGAGTTATCCCTGATACCATGTGATTTTATTTAATTTTAATGTTTATATCTTTCTCAAATTGTTTTATATTGTGTGTTTCATGTTTGGTATTGCAATCAATCAATTCAAAATAGAAAATTACATAATCTTTGAAACCAAGGTACTGTTTGTGGTGGGATCCTTTGGTTTTTAGCCTTTGGGCACGCTTTGCTCATATAGGCTGTTAGTAACTGAAGATAAAATCCTGTAGGTAATATTAATAACATCAAATATCCTTTTGATTTACAATTTCAGCAAGGAAACAGTGGTCTACAATCAGAAATGATCTTCAATGAAATGGGCAAGCAATTGGCTGCAGTGCCTGACCTGGTCAAAAAGGTTAATGGTGTCTTCCTCTACAATATAACGGTTGGCAAGAAAATAGCTGGAAAGTGGAGTAAGTTGTTTTTATATGTTATCATCATTGTCATACTTAATGATAATATTGATGATGGAGGTGGTGATGATGGCTGCAACAGTGATGACGACAGCAGTCTTATATAGCATATCATAGCAAAGTTTCACAATTTTACACCCTGCTCATTAATTAAATAACTACGGAACATACACAGTACTCAGTTTCCTGTTAGACCATTCTAAACAGTCACACCAAGAAGTTGGCGTATTGGCATTTCTTTTGGGTTGTGAGATAAAGTGGATGAATAGCCTTGACCTGAGATTCAAGCAAAATGCACAGTGAGGTATTCAAAACCTCGACATTATGATATCATTTTTATTAGCACTCATTATTATCATCATCTCTTTACTCTGTTGTTGTAGCTGTTGTTGCAAAAGCGCCCTCTGGAGAAGTATACAAAGGAGAACCCAAGACTGGTAAAGCAGACTGCACAGTGACAATAGCAGATGAGGACTTTGTTGGACTTGTCACTGGCAAGCTTGTCCCTCAACAGGTAATTCATCACAGTGTGTCTAATGATAATATTCCATATAAGACAGTGATTATTTAGCCCATGTAACACCTAGTTGTTTACAATTTAATGATGATTAATAAGGTTGCTCTCCAACCTTAACCTTAAGAATATGTACATTTGAGTTAGAAGTAGTAGTTTGGCCAGGTGGTGAGAGACTGTTGCCTTGGTGGTTAAGAATATGGCTGATGTTTGGTGGTTGAAAGATAGGGTGTGAACTGGTGGTGTGAGAGTTTTGCTTGGGGATTAACAGTGAGACTGTTGTTTGGTAGTTAATAGTCAGGCTGTTGTTTGGTGGTTAAGAATGAGACTGTCACCTAGTGGTTAAGAATAAAACTGTCACTTGGTGGCTAAGATTGGGGCTGTTGCTTAGTGGTTAAGAGTGAGGCTGTTTGTTGGTTAAGAATGAAACTGTCACTTAGTGTTTAAGAGTTAGGCTGTTTGGTGGTTAAGATTGGGGCTGTTGCTTAGTGGTTAAGAATGAGGCTGTTCCTTGGGGTTAAGAGTGAGGCTGTTTGGTGGTTAAGAGTGAGGCTGTTTGGTGGTTAAGAGTGAGGCTGTTTGGTGATTAAGAGTGAGACTGTTGCTTGCTGGTTAAAAGTTAGACTGACTGTTGCTTGGTGTGAGTGCCTTTCAAATTCCAATCGCTGTCATAAATTCAAATCCTGTTAATTTCATTATGTTGATTCTTTCAGGCATTTATGGCAGGAAAATTAAAGGTGAAAGGTAACATCATGCTGCTTCAGAAAGCCGGACAACTTTTCCAACAGAATGCAAAACTCTGAAGATGTCATCGCATTGAGCAGAAAATCCAAATCATTGAAATTCTAAGGAAAATGTTTTCTAGAAATATTTCAAAAAAGAAATTCACAAGTTAACTGTACATTATTTTTGATAGCAATTAAGTTATCAGATGTTGTTATAGACATAATTTCTATTCACATCATTCTTTTGCAGAATATGGATGAAACATCAAAATATATAATTGAATATTGTGTTTAATTTATCATAACATGATAGGCCATTAGAAATTATATGAAGTTAGATAAATGGGGATATGTTGTCACCTCACTTGTTTTCCCGATTGATTGAGAATACAGTATGTATGTTCAAATCACAATTATGTTAATTATCTATCAGCTATTAACAGAATTATTGAAAATGGATATATTTTAATAAATGATAATATAGTTTATCAGTGCATAAAAATGCATACAATGATGTTTTGTCATTGACATTGTGAAATATAAATATAATGAGTAATAAATTTATGCAATAGAACTACTATTATCATTTGCTTTATTTATCGACTTCTCTGTTAGCTCAATATAAACAACCTAAAGGTTAACACATAACATGAAAAGGTTAATGCACTAATGATAGTGAAAACAAGTTCAAGGTTTGGGATATAAAATATAATGTTGGAGGCAACATCTAAAACAAGCATACCCATTAAAAAAAAGAGCACAAATATTTCATTAAAAATACGCTAAATCGTTGATAAAAAATTTTTTTTAAAAAGTAAAAAATTAAAAAAAAAAAAAAAAAATAGGACTGGAACCATGAAAATATAATTAGCCCAACATGCACATACACACACACACACAAAACGCTTAGCATACATATTAAAAAAAACACCAATAAATAAAGTTTTGGATACAATGCGTTTTTAAAATTCACTCAATTTCTCAATGACACTGGTAACGTGGCACTGTGAATGTAACCATATTGATCATGATCACAGGGAACGAGCAGAAAATCCAAATGATGTAGTCAACCTGCCCCTCACCCAAAAGATGATTTTTAAAATTTATGAAAAAATTAAATCATTGAAATTCCAAAGAGAAAGGTTTCAGAAAATATTACAAAAGAAATACACGAGTTGCTATAGATTATTATACCGCGACAGGGCAAAAAACTTATCATTTAAGGTGATAGTACTTTTTCCCCTAAGTCATATGAGTGTTGGTTGAAGTTATTACCTGCTTTTTAACCAATCAGATGCCTTGAATCTATGTATAAAGTATATAATAATTAATATGTAAAAATAATATATCAGTACACTTTATAGTTTTGGATACAATGCGTTTTAAAAATTTACTCAAAAGAAACGATTTCTATGACACTGCTATCGTGGCTACAGCATTTCACCTCAACCAGCATTATTATCAACGATTAATTTTAATGAACGTTATACTCTGTAG